TATATACATAAACAGATTTTTTAAAACAAATATAACATTTTATTATTTTTTTTATGAGGCTAAATTTTAAATTTATGCTTGATTTAATAAAGTTTTCTTTGTAAACTTTCTAAACCATTTTATTCGTATTTTTAAGTAATTAAATATTATCTATAAATATTTTGGGTCTCTGTCAAAGCAACTCGTGGCGCTCCCACTTTTACAGCCCCAAATTCAATTGTTGCTCTAATAAATGTGATTTCTCGTTCTCCTTATAAGCACCTTCTTTCTGAAGAGCTTATGAAATTGAAGTTCAAGGACTAGAAAAGCTTTGCCAGATGCATATTAGAATTAAAGTTGAATTAATAAAAAAAAAATAAATAAATAAATAAGAAATTCATATATAAATGTACATATAAATCAAAATGTTCACATACAAATATACATACATACAAATATACATATATACTTACATACATATATATAAATATAAATAGATGAATATTAATTCATCAATATGTAATAAAATTTCCAGTTGAATTCCCTCCATTCAACTTTAGGCAAACTAATTTCCATTCATGATTTCAACACACTCACCATAGTTAATGTACCCCATTGTTGCATAGACTGCCAAAATAAAATCTGTGTTGTCACATTCCTCGGCTCCTGCCCCGCTGCGCCCCCTGCCCATGCCCGCGCTCTTAGCATGCAGAACTCAGAATTCATCAACATGTTACTAGGGTGCAAAAGAAAAGAAAAAAGAAAAAAGAAAAGAAAACCAAAACAAATATCCATTGTTCTGGCAAGATGACGGACAGAACTTATTTAAATGCAGATGTCGGCCATATAGCGAATCACTCTGATTGCTGTCGCTGTGCTACATACACGTCGTGAGTGGCGCCTGTGCCATCGCTAATCGCTGATCGTAAGGATCTAACGTCTGGCTGTCTCTTTGTAGCTTTCAACTTAATCTTCTGCCAAAATGTGTGACGAGGAGGCATCAGCTCTGGTCGTGGACAATGGATCCGGCATGTGCAAGGCTGGCTTCGCCGGCGACGATGCGCCACGCGCTGTCTTCCCATCGATTGTGGGTCGTCCTCGCCATCAGGGCGTGATGGTGGGCATGGGTCAGAAGGATTGCTATGTGGGCGATGAGGCGCAGAGCAAGCGCGGTATTCTCTCGCTCAAGTATCCCATCGAGCATGGCATCATCACCAACTGGGACGACATGGAGAAGGTCTGGCATCACACCTTCTACAATGAGCTGCGCGTGGCTCCCGAGGAGCATCCCGTCCTGCTCACCGAGGCCCCACTCAATCCCAAGGCCAATCGCGAGAAGATGACACAGATCATGTTCGAGACCTTCAACTCCCCAGCCATGTACGTGGCCATCCAGGCGGTGCTCTCGCTCTATGCCTCCGGCCGTACCACTGGCATTGTCCTCGATTCCGGCGACGGTGTCTCCCACACTGTGCCCATCTATGAGGGCTACGCCCTGCCACATGCCATCCTCCGTCTGGATCTGGCCGGTCGCGACTTGACCGACTACCTGATGAAGATCCTCACCGAGCGCGGCTACTCGTTCACCACCACCGCTGAGCGTGAAATCGTGCGCGACATCAAGGAGAAGCTGTGCTACGTGGCTCTCGACTTTGAGCAGGAAATGGCCACAGCCGCCGCCTCCACCTCGCTGGAGAAGTCCTACGAGCTGCCCGATGGCCAGGTCATCACCATTGGCAACGAGCGCTTCCGCACACCCGAGGCTCTCTTCCAGCCCTCATTCCTGGGCATGGAGTCGTGCGGCATTCACGAAACCGTCTACCAGTCGATCATGAAGTGCGACGTGGACATCCGCAAGGACTTGTATGCCAACAATGTGCTGTCCGGCGGCACCACCATGTATCCTGGTAGGGGAACGACTTTTTGGAAATATCTCATTCATACCTAAGCTAAAACTCTAAATCATTTCAGGTATCGCTGATCGCATGCAAAAGGAAATCACCGCCCTCGCTCCGTCCACCATTAAGATCAAGATCATTGCACCACCTGAGCGCAAATACTCTGTGTGGATCGGTGGCTCCATTCTGGCCTCTCTGTCCACCTTCCAGCAGATGTGGATCTCCAAGCAGGAGTACGATGAGTCTGGTCCCGGCATTGTGCATCGCAAGTGCTTCTAAGCAGCGAATGCATTACAACAACAACAACAGCAGCAACCAACAACAACATCAAACAGCAAGAAAAACAACAACAACTAGAGACACCAACAACAACACCAACAACAACAAGAACAAGTGGCGTTTATATATAGCCTATATGAGAAGATCTGACACGCATATCTTATATCTGACATTGGGTATATGTTTAGCTATGGCCAGGCTAGCTGCATCTGGGCGCCCAAGCGGCGCTGCATGCACAAAACAACAACAACAACAACTACAAAAACAAAAAGTATCTTTAAAATTACATTTAGTTGAAAAGAGGCGGAGGAAGTAGAAGAAGCAAACATAGAGGACAAGAGACACCCCCACATGAAAAGAGAAAAGAGAACAAACAGTAAAGACAAGCAAAAATCGAGTAGGTAGAGCATATTTTATATTTAGTTACGATTTGGATTTTTTTTTTCTGATTTGTTTCCAAATTACGGAGCTGACCAAAAAAAAAAGAGCACAAAAGAACTCAATAAAGAAAAGACAATCGGATGTACAATGAAACAAGGTATAAATGTGTATATATTATGTGTATATATGTGATATGTCTGCTCACACATCAAGAAAACTTTGAAATGCCATCAAACAGTTGCCTACTCAGTTCGCTGTCTGTTCGATGGGCTGGGCAAACTTTTTTAATTACGCTAACCCAGGGGCAGCCGGGCGATCCTATCACAAAACGTCAATCAGCAATTTGTGAAACTTTTCAACTGTCCGTTGCTGTAGCTGTAGATGTATCTGTATCTTTAGCTAGCTGTATCTGTATCTATAACTTTTGTATCTGCAAGTTGTTCACGCAGTTTGCTTGGCTGTCAAAAATCGTACGGCCCAGCTCCGTCGCATCTCGCACGGAAGTTGCTCAACTTAGACGGATGGCTGTGTGCGTGTGTGTGTCGGTGTCTTGTGCTTGTATTGTTAGTCTTGATTTATGCTCCAACTGAGTGACTATATGACCGTGTACATATGTCTTCTGCTGTGTCATGTGTCTCAGCTGCGCAGTGCAACTTAATGCTCGTTATGCTGCCGCTGCTGTCTTCTATCAATATACTGCATAGATATATAAACTTTGGTATGTGTATGTAGTTAGCTGCGTGCTCGTGTGATATATTTGCAAGTTGTCCAAAGTGCAAGTAAACTTTGCACTCACTTTGAAACAACAACAGCCAAAGACAGTCCTGGCCAGCACCACATCAAGCTGGTCAGAAACGTGCCGTAGAGCTGTCACTCTTGGCCACACGCAAACTTTTATGGCTGCCAGCTGAACATTTGGCCAGGTGCAAAAATCACTTGCACAACTTTTTACTAGTGTAATTTTTAATAGCCACAGCATTAGAGTGCTTTGGCCAAATACTAAAAAAAAAAACTAGAGAAAAGAAAACCGAACAAGAAACTAAGTTTATTAGCTAATTGCTGTGTTATGGCACCGTCTCTCTGTTTGGTAGTTCGTGACTTGGAACTTGATGCAGAGCAGGAGCCGGCAGCTCTAATTATATAAACATTGCTTATGAGAGTATTGTATGCATTCATAATAATGCATGACTAATAATTTAATAATATTAGGGCATGATTTAATTTAATATTTATTTCAAATTTTCCAATCGAATAAGCATAATTTAAATGAAATAAAAATGTACTTATTTAATATGAATAAATTAAATTAAATATTTTGAACTGCTTGTTATATTAGAGAATATTCTCGTGGTTACCATAGAGAATTACAATTATATGAATATATATGTAAATTAAAATTATATATCAATTCTCAGAACTGTTTTCGTCTTTCATTCTATTACAGGATATATGTATGGTCAATGAATTTTCTTGTTTTCATACATTATTAATAATATTATTCATATAGAAATTAAAAAAATGTTAAAAAAATATTTTTTTAACAAAAAAAAAAAAAAAAAAATGTTAAAAAATTATTTTTTGACTAATTGAAAAAAAAAAAGATTTTTAATTACTATAAATAATTTATTTGATAAAAATAAAAAATAATTATTACAGATCAATTTTTATATACAAATTTAATTTAAAGGACTTAAATTATATTAAATTGTATTAAATAAAAAATGCAACTTTGAGCATAAATAAATAAATAAAAATTAAATTTAAATTTTAAATTAAACAAGTAAGTAAGCTCCAGTCGAGACTGCTCGACTAGGAGATACCCTGAACCCTCTAAGCTGATATTCCAATCATTCTGCACTTCTTTTATGCACACATAMATACAGATGCATCCACACGCACGCATATGCCTGCGCTCTGCTAACTGCGCAGTAAGCAGCGACTGCGCTTGGGCTGCGCTGCAATGTGGGCAATATTATGAGAATTTATTTGTTGAATAACTTCTTTTGTAGACATACGATCTTAATGAAACTTTTAGNACTCGTACTGCGTATGGTACACACGAGTATGCATGCCAAATTTCAGCTCTCTAGCTCTTATAACTTCTGAGATCGACGCACTCATACGGACGGACGGACGGACGGACGGACGGACAGACGGACAGGGCTATATCGACTCAGCTCGTCACGCTGATCAAGAATATATATACTTTGTGGGGTCTGCCACGCCTCCTTCTGCCCGTTACATACTTTTTCACAAAACCATTATACCCTGATTTCCCATTTTCAATGGGTTCAGGGTATAAAAAAAAATTAATTAAAATAAAAAAATAATCATTTGTAGACGAGCATATATATGCGACTTATTTTATCTAAGCACATACCACTCTTCTTTGGCCTGATAAAGCTATTTATTTTTATAAAGATTAGTAAATTTTCAAAAACTAAAAGTGAGCATCAAAGTTGATTTTAAATTCACTTGCAGTTGATGCTCTCATATATGTCGCACTGGTTCGCCTGCTTAAGTCTTGGCAGTCAGAAAAGATCATATCCAAGTGAGACTCATAAATCCACATTTATTGCAGCCATGCCAAAACTCTGACTTTTGCGCAGACGATAATAAACTTCGAACAAATGTGTTGCCGTTATCCGACTGCAGCAGTTGGCGGATACAAAAACATTCCGCTCAATCAAAAGTGAATGGATATATTCTAACAAATTTAGCTCTCGGAACTTCAACATGAATGCCAGAGGGGCAGAGGGGCAGAGGGGCAGCAGCAGCAGCAGCGGGAAGACAGCTGAAATGTCAGCTGAATGCACAATTTGTATAGATATCAAATGACGCATACGCAGCGTGTGCCCAGAGAGTTGGCATATGACTGTCAGTCATTTGCTGCGTGTGTGGTTGTGTGTTTGATTATTGTCATTCGTGTGTGTCACTGTGGTCAACTCGAGCTCGAATGGCCCCACAGTTGTGGTGGTATTTAGCCAGTGCGGTATCACTGAAATTAAGGCCAACAATTGGGTCATATTGAGAGGCTTTCGGCCTCTGCCGGTCACTGGCCTCGCTCAATCAAACAGTGCTGAGGGCGGCGCGTGCGGGAGGGGGCGTGGCACATCCAACATTTTAGACTATCAACAAAATGTCAGGCGTTTGCATATGAAATTTGTTTTGCATTGTGTGCCGCATTTAATAAAATCGCACACAGCTCGCGGCTAAGCAGACAGTCGCTTTGCATTTGTCTGTTTGTTGTTCGTTGGCCTTTGGCTGTTTACTGGCCCTTCGCCCACGCCCACGCCCACGCCCACACGGCCTCTAGTTGGCCCTAAATGTTGTGCATTGCTATGCCCTATGCATAAAATTAATTGAAAGTGGGGTATGCCATAGCTGAAGGCATTCATCTAGCAACTGGAATGATGGCGAGGATTCTTTTGAGTCGGCTATGAAGGCCAACATCAGGATAGCATGCAGCCTTGGGTATTGGAATGATCCGAATGTGTTGGTCGTGGGAAAGAGGTGTGAGGAGAGAGAGTGAGAGAGGGAGAGGGAGGGAGAGATTGTGTGTGTGTGTGCCCAAGCATATCTCTTGTAGTTGACTTCTCTGGCTCCGATTTCTAATCACTGACACCACGAGTAGAATATGAACGATCGCCTTGACTTTGCAAAGTTTTGATTTCTATCTCCCTCTCTCTCTCTCTCTCTCTCTCTCTTTCCCTCTTTGGCAAATACGACCAAGCGTACTTAGCTTCAGCCCCGAGGTGTTTCAACTCTGTTTGTTCACTTATCACATAAATGTAGAGCTTGATAAGAGTGAAGAGAGTGCTAATATGCTCGGTCAAGTTCATCATTCACTCAAATACAAATGCTGCTCTCGTTGATCTTATTGATAAGGTACTAAACTATCGTTACAGAGAAGAGAACGGGGAGGGTGTTCAAATTTGTTAGCACTTTTTCTGGAATATCCATTAATTAAATATTAAATTAAATATTAAATTAAATATTAAATATTTAATGAAAATGGAAACGCTCTGACTATTCTGACATTATTTATGGAGTAGCTTCAGCAGTTCCAATCTAACCACAAATATTACATATTTTCAAATTAAATAACTCTTTTGTATATTTATATTTGTATCTGCATAAAAATTCTGTTTTTTTTTCTGTTCACCAGCTTACCATAGTAGGAGACTAGTTTTTTTTGTTTTTTTTTTTTTTTTCTTGTTTTACAAATAGTTTCTTACTATTTCAAACTATCGTATTTATATGTAAAGAGACTGAGCCACAATATTAAAAAAAAAACTTTTGATTTCTTGATATACGAACCTTACAGAAAAAAAAAATCTAAGCAAACGAAAAATAAAAATATTAATAGTCTAAAAAAGTTATTTTAATTTAATTAGAGAATCAAAATTTATGGAATTTTTGTAAAGAAATATATATATATTTTTTTGACATATGACAGCAATTCCTAAAAAGTATTAAAAATAATAATTATATTGGGGGACAAATTATACCGACTGTAGTTTAAGCAGCTCATTGTCAAGGAGTCCACAGCATACTTATCCTTAATTTATGAGTGGATCTGTAGGTCTGCATATTTTATATAATTTAGATGTATAACTCTCAATTTTGTATGAATTTCTATTATACAAGTTCTTTAGTGAAACTTCTATTTGGCATAAAATTACATAAAACAAAAATTGAATACTTGGTCTTTACTCTCTCTCTCTCTCTCTCTCTCTTATCTCTCTCTCTCTCTCTCTCTCTCTCTCTCTCTCTCTCTCTCTCTCTCTTTCTTTCTGCTAGACTTATTCATTTCATAAAATTTCTCGTTCTAGCGTTTCCAGGATATCTGCCTAGTCTGACCACATTCTCAGCTCGCACGCGTACGTGTTGTTGTTTAACACTTTTGTATGGACATTAAATTGAATTTAATTGCAGCTGTCGTCCGGCTCGAGACTCGTGGCTGGCTTTGTCCTGCCGTGCGGTGATGTTTGTTCTGCTTGTTTGCCATGCTCATTTTGCGAGAATTGTTTTGTATTTTGCAACTGTTATGGAAGCGGGTGGCAATTTAGTTTGCAGCCTTGTTGATTT